GGGTGATACCCAAAGAGGTACGGTCTATCTGCCGGGAGGTCTGCCTCCTGCAGTGCGCATGAGCAAAGATCCAAAACGGATGAGACACGCAGCCCGACGCGCCTTGAGGAATCTGCGCAGCACCGGTCTGACTCTTCAACACCCTTGCATCGAGAGAGAAGCACGCACGAAGCAGGGTAGTAGTCCGCAAAGTACGTCCAAAACTTGAGCGAACGGAACCACGGGCTGGTGCGTCCACCGTGTTCCGGGCTCTTGTCGATCCAGTTCGCCCACACGTAATACACGGATAGGAGGGGCCACAGCGGGGGATAAGAACTAGCCCAGCCATGAGCCGCGTACAACGCAAGAAGAAAGTCGGGAAAAGCACCATAGGAGGAGAAACAGAACGGCTGCAAGGATGATGGACACGGACCAGACGGCGACTGCGAGCATCTGCAGACGGCGCTTCCGGGGGATGCGCGCAGGAACAAAGCTAGATTCAGAATGCGGTGGGTACTCAGCGAGAAACGACTTGGAGGAGCAACACGAACTCGATGTTGGCCTGGAGGGCGGTGGCGACGGGGACCAGCGGGGTGGTGGTGAGAATGGAGAGTCTGTCCTTGAGCGACGACGCCGACAGCGTCCGCGAGGCGTTGGAGAGGCGTCGCAAGGACATGGTGGAAGACTCGAAGACGCGTTGACGCGTGCTTTGCTAACTTGTGATTATGTACCATGTCTCATTTCAAAATCGTTATTCTCGCCAAATTATTCTGAGACAGAGACAAAAAAATCTAGTCGTTTCATGCTACTACACTAAAGGGATAAGGAAACAGTTTTCAGGCGTACAGGTCGTCGTCGGCAGTCTCCTCCGTGAACCCAGCATTCCCCGTGCTCGTCCCTGCAGGCGCAGACCCGGACTCGCCTTCGGGGAACTTGAAGTTGTTGCCGAACCCACGCGACTGCTGCAGATTCTGCGAGAACATCTCGTAGCGCCGGATGTCCTGGTCAGACACCGAGCGACGCGCAAACTTCATCGCCTCCTCAAAGTGTTCTCTGCACAAGCGACGATCAGCAACACTCGCAAAAGAAACGAGAACGAACGAACCTTGTGATCTCGGGGACGGGGTCATCCTCCTCTGCTGCCTCTTCCTCCACCTTCATTGCGTCGTCGCCTGCGGCCTCGTCCTGCTCCCGCTTCTCCCGAGCCCGGCGGATGTCCGAGTCTATGCTCTCGCGGATCGCCAGCTTGGCAGCGCGCTGGCAAATCTCCGTGAGATCGGCACCAGAGAAGCCGTGCGTGCTCTTGGCCAGGAAGTCGAGGTTAACCTCGGGGGAGACGGGCGACTTCTTCAGGCACGCCTTGAGAATAGACAACCGCGAGGGCTCGTCGGGCAGGGGGATGTAAATCAGCTGGTCGAGACGTCCGGGACGCAGCAGCGCAGAGTCGATCTGGTCGGGTCTGTTCGTCGCGCCGATGATGAACACGTTTTTCTTCGCGTTCATCCCGTCCATCTCCGTCAGGATCTGATTCAGGACACGGTCGCCTGCACCTCCACCGTCGCCGCCCCCGCCACCACGCGCCTTCGCGATCGAGTCCAACTCATCGAAGAACATGACACAGGGCGCCGCAGCCCGCGCTTTGTCGAACACGTCACGCACATTCGCCTCCGACTCACCGAACCACATCGTGAGTAGTTCAGGACCCTAGGAGTAACCGCGTCAGCGACTGGGAATGAATCGCACAAGCAAAAAAAATCACCTTGATGGAGATGAAGTTGGCATTGCACTCGTTGGCAATGGCCTTGGCAAGCATGGTCTTACCAGTACCAGGAGGGCCGTAGAACAAAACACCCTTTGAGGGCGACATGCCGTACTTGAGGAACTTCTCGGGGTGCTCCACGGGGTACTGCACGGTCTCCTGCAGCTCCTGCTTGACTTTCTCGAGACCACCAACGTCGTCCCACTTGACGGTTGGCACCTCCACGACCGTCTCGCGCAGCGCAGAGGGGTTGGAAGTCCCAAGGGCGAACCGGAAGTTGTCCATGGTGACGCCGAGCGAGTCGAGCACCTCTGCGTCGATGGTGTCCTCGTCGAGGTCGATGAGGTCCATCTTCTCTCGGATCTGCTGCATGGCAGCTTCGGAACAGAGGGAAGCCACATCGGAACCGACGTATCCGTGGGTGTCAGCAGCAATCTAGAAAAGTTGAATGAGTATAGGATTGGTATAAAACGTTCAAAGATACGGACCTGCTCCAAGTCAACGTCCTCGCCCAGCTTCATGTTCTTCGTGTGGATACGGAGAATCTCGAGTCGGCCAGTTGGGTCGGGAATACCAATGTCGACCTCGCGATCGAAGCGACCGAATCGGCGGAGAGCAGGGTCGATGGAGTTGGGCCTGTTGGTGGCGGCCATGACGACAACGTTCGAACGGGCCTTCAACCCGTCCATCAGGGTAAGGAGCTGCGAGACGACACGTCGCTCGACTTCACCGTTCGTCTAGAGAGAAAGAGATTGTAAGAAACCCGACGTCACAAAGAACAAGAATGAGCTGCACCTTTTCACGTTTCGGTGCGATCGAGTCGATCTCGTCGATGAAGATGATAGCCGGCGAGTTCTTTTCCGCCTCCTCGAACGCCTTTCGCAGATTGCTCTCACTCTCACCAGCCATCTTGCTCATGATTTCGGGACCGTTGATCAGGAAGAAGAACGCGCCGGTCTCGTTGGCCACGGCTCTGGCCATGAGCGTTTTACCGGTACCGGGGGGTCCGAACATCAAGATACCGCGAGGGGGCTTGATACCGATGGACTTGAATAATTGCGGGTGGCGGAGGGGCAGCTCGACCAGTTCACGGATTTGTGCCATCTGTTTGCGGCATCCACCAATGTCGTCATAGCCGACGTCCGCGAGGTTGGATTCCTCTTCTTCGCGCTTGACTGGGTCGCCCTCTGTTCACGTCGCGTCAGCACAGAGATACTTGGCATTGAGGGGAAGGAGACTTGCCGGTGTGAATAACGGTATCTTGCGCAACGATGCAGAATTCAGACGGGTCGGTCTCGATCACTTTGAACTCGACTGTCCGCATGCCTCCGCGCACAAGGAAAGTATCGCCCTTGCGGACGGGTCGGTATGCTATATTTAACGGTAAGCGCCAATCCATAGGGGCTAATAAGAATACATACCTTCCAGGAAATAAGGCTTGAGGTAGACATCGAAGATATTCCCGCTCAGACCCTCGATGGAGTCGTCGAAGGGGAGGATGTGCACGCGCTTGCCGTATTTTATGTCGAGACACGGGTGCACGCCGACGAGGTCACCAAGCTTTACCCGCAGATTGTTGCGGGCGACTTTGTTCACTTGGATGCGGCCCTCCTCGACGTCATCGGAGGAGAGGCAGATAAGGACAGTGTCGCGCCGTTTCTTTCCGCTAAGCACAAAGAGTGAGAACACGTCAGTGGGCCGAGTAGGAAAATATGTACCGGACAATAATGGTGTCACCACGAAAAAGGCCCAGAACTTCCATGGTTGCGGGATTCAGAGTCGCGACTGCGACGCAAGGGAGTGTGAGCATTGCCTGCTGATGAAAGAGGCCAGTCTACGTACCAGAGTTGTCGTCCGTCGCCGCCTCGTCGACCAAAAGCCGATTTGGGCTGGATATTGGTGTGAATAATGGGCGGAGAGAACGAGGGCATTGGACTTACGACTTCTTCGGCCTGAGGATAGCGGTGGAAATATCATTGGGGCCAGGCTGAGGAGCTGCGCCGCTGGGGTCTGCCATGGTGTATGGGGGTTAGAAGAAAGAGAGTGTAAGGACGAGATTCAGAAACGACGCGCGTCAAATAGTCCCACGGGCCACGTGTTACATTCGTTCCCGGAAGTTCTCCTGCTTTCGACAAGGCCGCGTACGCGTTTGTTATCTTTATTTTCCTTACAAATCCCTTAATTTTGTGTCTCAAGTGTTGCTAATATCCTACAGTGCTATTCCCATTATTTATCTACATCTCCTCGTCCAAATCAATCTCCTCGACCGGATAATCTCCAACCTTCACCTTCTCTGGCCGCACAAACGCGCCGTAATTCGGACGGCACGAGAAATAGCGCTCCCCCTTTACGCTGCAGAGACGCGTAAATTCAGGGTGTGTTATTTAAAAGCACAAAGCACTCACGAGCCGTCATTCTTGCCCATCGGTTCGTCGTATTCGACGCCGACCCAGAGGCCCTCGCCATTCCCGAAGGTTGTGGTTCCGACGAAGCGCACCGTCCCCCGCTTGCTCAGCCCAGGCTCGGCCGACTCCACCTCGCATCGCGAGCCGACATCGATCTTCACATCGACGGGCGGCTTCGAAGACGTCTCGTCCTTGGGCGCGAACCGTCCTACTTTATTCCGCTGCTTGTACGCCAGTACAGTATCTGAGCTCCCTGTTAATACGCGAGGAGTTGCACGCGGACGAGATAACGCACCGGTGCGCTCTGCATAAGCCGTGTCGGTGAGCTCGAATTTCTCGACTTGCGTCACATCGGTCAGTTGCCCCGTCAGCGATGTCGACGGATTCGTGTCGTCCACCTACACATCGTATTTACTTTAATTTCATTCATTAAAATTTCGGGTCAGTAACACACCTTGAGGACATGCCAGTCGCGCAAGCCGTAAAAGCCCAGCGGCCGCGCGTCGTCTGTCAAGGTTGCAACAAGGGTTGGGTCGTCTACCGAGGTCAGAATCGAGATCGCCTGGTTCGCGACTGGAACGCCAGTGATGAGCTCGAGTTTGTTCTAAGAATGCAAGCAGTCTGGTCTCAGCGCCCTCACTTGGTAGCAAGTGTATTATGCGACCTTGAGTTGCTCGACCGTGATATGCGGATCGATGCGCCGCTCAGAGTGCGTGTCGAGGGAGACTACGAAGACGTTGAGGGTTCCCGACATTGGTGCAGATGAGGCGCGTCAAAAGAATTGTCGAAGATTTGGAACCGATATGTTCTACGAGTGCCGATATTGATATGAATCCTAGTTGGGAGCAGCCAACATCTCTTGCCTAGTATATCGGTTCAGTACACCCGCCTGTCATTTGCTCTAGGCATGGTAATATGTACGCGGGAGAGCAGGGTTCGACTCCCTGGGCGAGAGTCCTTTTTGACCTTTTTGCCCTGCGATCAGATTGTATTCCGGCGCCTACCCACGTCTTATCGTGCTCCACCACACCACCACACCACAGGACGAAACCGAGCTGAACCTAAATGTCCAGACATCGCAGGGTGGGGAAATATTCATATTGCGATGAACGTTAACGGAAGGTTCAAAGTTCGAAATTCAACTATGCATGATGCAGAAGAACCCGCTAGGCCTCTCTTCAAGTAGTCAGAATTCGTAGTTTATGCGTCACGACTCTAGAGTGCTAACACCTGAGAACGGTTAGTAGTAAGAGCTACAGTTTCTCACTTTAAGGACTGAGTGAGGTTCAACCTTCCGAGATACGTTGTAGGTATATTACTACGGTGCACCAGTGGTATTGTATACAGTATATAATCCGGTAAAGAACGTGATGGGCCGTCGAGATAATTGATACCCAAGAAAGAAAGAAAAAACCAACCAGAACCCAGAGGGACTTAAAGTTTCTACGCGGAAACGGTGGCGTTGGCGATGTATGGTGCACAGACGTTGGAATCGTGGAACTGGACGGATCTTTGGTGAAATATCCGCGGTTGACGCCTTCCAAGTATGACCTGCAAGATTGTTACAGTACTTATTAGGACGGAATTCAACCTCGTTGCAGATCGGAGCTTACCATTCCCTGGCTAGGTCGCCGGCGAGAGTAGATTTTTCGACTTTGAAGTTCCAGAACTGATGAGTATAGTGAGCATGACTGCAGTCAAAGGAAAAGAACGGCGTATTTCAACTCACAATCCATCCGGCACCCTTGCCGTAAGCGAGTTTCTGTGCGTCAGCCCACTGGCTCAAAAATGCGTCCGTAGCCTTGAACTGTGTAGGTAGCCCCCATTCTGGAAATTATGTATATGGGCTTGGGATCGAGTGAACGGCGTGAAAAAAGAAGCACACCTCCGAACCAGAGGGGGGTGTTGCCCAGTGCCGCGTCATTTTCGATGCGGTTGAGATCTGAGCATGGTTGACTTCAGAGGTCGTTGAAGGAAGCTAATGCACCTACTGCATATGTGGGTCATATATGCCTCGGGGGTCGGATCGGCCACACCCTGTATGTACTATGTGAGCGCGAATCAGCGGGAATATGAAAGAGGTATTCACCCCGAAACTGTCAATGACATTACATTTAAGAATCATGAGTTGAAAAACAAACTCACACGTAGTAGAGATGATTGTCGTATCCCTGGGGGCCGATTGCGGCAGCGCTGGGATTAGGAGGGCTCTTGAACTGCCAGTTGATGTCCATGAAGCTAGGAACCAGGTTCAGTCGTATGAATATAAGGATATAAATACATACTTTGTGATGAGTTGATCCTTCCTGCGAGACAAACCTATGATTCCGAGCTCCAAAAGAATCGGCACAGTATCTTGCAGAACAGAACGGACTTCCGCGGTGAACACGGCAGACTCATTGACGTTAGGAAGCATTGCCGTGAAATTCCCATTTGCAGGTGCGGGGATAGCACCGAAGCCAGGGGCGGGGACACCCAGCAAAAATTCTGTAGCCCGGACCACCCTAACAAAGTTCTGCTGGAAGTCACCGTAACCGGGCGTCTGGTCAGCGTTCATGATCGGTTCGTTGACCGCCTCGATGGCGACGGCGTTAGCAAATGCCGGGTCCACATGCGCGAGAGTGGTCATAACGGAGGTCCAGATCAAGGCGCGGTGGTAGTTGTACGGAGTCTGCATGCAATTAGTCTCAACAGTCGTTCGCAAAGTAATGGTTGATTACATAGAATTCAACATCGCTCGTGCACCTAACACGCCGTTTGTATCACCGACATGGGACTAGCGCGAAATGTACATACCTTCCTGTAAACTGCTGCCCGGCCGACTGGACACCTTGAAAAATATTCGTTTGGGAAATATGAGAGGGGGTGAAAACACCGACCTGGAAGAGCATGGTGGTCGAGGATGGCGACAATCCCCGCCTTCTGAAGAAGCTGCAATCCTCGGCGCTGTGGAGGCTTATAGAATATGCCCGGAAAGATGATATGAGCCATACCAAATGATTAAAAACCGCCTCGGGGATAAAATTCGGATGTACGGTTAACCAGAGGTTCGACAATCCAGTAGCCAAGCTGGACCGTTTCAGAATGATAATAACAAGATCGGGATGCTGTCAACTCACGGGAATTCGAACGGTGTTAATCCCAGCAGCAACCAAGCCATCGACGTCTTCTTGGTTGAACCACGAGGACCTGGATGGTCGCATGAGCACGCCCAAATATGTTTGTCTAAATCCAATGGACTCACCAATGACCGTCAAAGGTCTTGTCCACGGTGGTTGGGTACGCTTGGGCGAAGGCACTACCAGACGATCAACAAAAGTGGACCACGAGACGAAAAATCAGTTACAATTCGCTGGCGAGGCAGGTAGAGCAGTGGCCGCATTGCTGGCCGCCCATGTCCAACCATTCTACGTAGCATGAGAGCCGTTTAAGAGCCAATTTAAATCAATTTCGTACCCTGGGGTAGCATCCATGCCTCAAGGACAAGCCTTTGGACCAGTTAACAATGGGCGTGAACCTCGGACTCGAATTGGCGCACCATGATCCTAAATTAACGCCATAAATTTTGCTGGGCAGTCCAGCGAGAGCAGCGGGGAGAAAGAAGGACAATAAAGGAAGGTGGAGGAGGATTGCAGAAGCGCGCATTTTGTGCTGAAAAGCGGGAATAATCCACTTGGTCTCCTGCTTTACCTTTTAACTAGCCGACGCGTAGGAGCCGATTTACGCGTGAAGGATTCCATCACGCCTGTATTCTTCCTTGATATATTCCATTGCTTCTTTCAGCCCAGTCAGGCTGAGTTCAGGCTGCCCGCCAAGTTGATGCGTATGAAACGGACATTGTCCATCTGGGAAAGAGCGAAAACGACGGTTGTGTACCACAATTTGGAATGATGACCGAGGGCGACCGTTAAACCGTGCAGCGAGTGGGTACTGTGCCAGGCTACTGTTGTTCTCAGAACGAAGGTCTAGAGGAGGTTGCCAGAGAGACAACGTGTGTCGCAACTTGGTCCCATATGTGATTTTGTCTGTTTTTGCAAGGCAGTGGGATTTGTAGGGCAGGTTAAGAAAGGTTCCATGCGGCCGCCGGCAGCGACCTCCAAGAAATTTTCACCCACCTCGATTTATTAAGAAAGAACGGTACTTCCTGGGCAGATCCTAACTCTTAAGGGTAGCTTGCGATGACGAAGGGTCTCTGTCCAGAGCAGCAATACGTGGGGCGGGCGTGGCGGCGTCGGAGGGACATCGCCGTCGAGTTTTGAACCATCTCTGCATCGTGATCCGAGAGCCAAATTAGGCGCCGATTTAAATCGAACATGTCACGTTGTTTTGCCACGCGAGATCTGCGCGCGTGTTGTATAATGTTCAACAGTGTTTAACAATTTGATATTCATCTACGCAACTAAATACTAAGGTAGGGATACCTAAAAGACAGAAATGAACCAAGGTTCATAACTGAGGTGCGACGCAGTATACACGTCTCTGTTCTCCAAATTTCTACAGAACGGTCGTTACGGTTCCATCCAAGTATTTGCAAGAGATCTCCACCCCGTCGTATGGACCATCGTGATCTTCAATGGAACCAAATACAATGCTCGGCACATCCCCGACTGAACACAATTCGCTATCGTTCTCCTGGCCTGTAAATATCCATATGAGCCAAGTGTCCGACCGTAGGAGGGCAATAATTCGACCTGCACAAGAATCCCATTCTCCAGAGGCCTGCCACGCCATTTAATTTGCGAAATGAACAGGGAAAGCGAGGCGAACCTGAATGTGAACCTCTCCGGCGGGATGGCGGTAGTCTAAGACGAACGGAATGCTAGCTAGGGAGTTGGTAAGATCGCCTGCGCTTTCAAAGCACCCCAGTATTCACCTGGAAGAATTGGTACAATGTCCTTTCTGTGAACAAACGCTCAGGGAAAATATTGCGATCAATGGAAGGGGAAGTAATTACTGGTTATTGATATGAGTCAAGGATAGATGCCCGTCGACGTAGTCTGCAAAAGCCGTATTTCCGACCTACGTTTGTTTTAATTAATGAAGCGCGAGACGAGGCTACAGGCTACACATACCCTCGGCAAGCCATAAGTGACGGTGTTAAATGTCACAGACAGAGGTAGCTGTAAGGGCAGGTACACGGAGTCTAGGAGAGCGAGTGCGCCACCTAGAAATTTGTGAGACTGGGTCTGTAAATTAAAAACAGACGCTCGCACCCTAGATATGATTTCAACATGTCGAACATTCGACGAGGATCGACCAGCTTACCAGGGAATGGCCCACCATCGTAACATGGTCCGCACCATATTTCGCTAAAGCCGTCTTTACAGCGGCGAGAATACTTGTTGCCGTTCTTCCGCGACGCATTAATATGGGTTAGTTGGAAAACGAAAGGAAATTTACTTGGCGTGTTCGTCCGCGAATCCCCAGTGGACCCAGATGTCGGAGCTAATACCAGGAAAGAGCGTCGAGTCGAGGGGCTTTTGGATGAGCGATGCATCCGTCAACATAGACACACTGCAGGACCATTATCCCTTCGTTCGCCGTCTTCAAAATTGGCGACATACATGGCATTGAGGCGCGTTCCCTCATGGGACACAATGACCCTCTGCGCATTATTCAAAGACGCGTTCTTCGGAACAGCAGAACAAAAATGCGTACCTTCAGCGACGGCGAATATCCGACAAACCCTGCGGTAATTTGGTTGAAATTCAGAGTACGACAAGGTGGAAGGGGCTCACAGTATTGGATGAACTCTCCGTCTCCCCCAGCCGCAACCGGTTTGAAGTCTGGGTTGGCCAAGCAATTTGCTAGGACACGGGGCATTAAGCGGTGAAATTCAACCACAATATTAAGAATACATTACCTCCACAAGACCACGACATCGTAAAATTCGCCGGACAGTAGCCGGTGCTCGCGAAAAAGGTATACGGCCGATATGCTGCAACTTGAGTGAGG